TTCGCAATCCTCCTGCCTCAGCCTCCAGAGCCTCTAGTATTGCAGGTGTGTGCCACTGCTCCTGGCCTAAATTTTTTTTTCTTTTTTTTTTTTTTACTTTTTAAATGGGATCTCACTATACTGCCCAAGCTGGTCTCAAATTCACATACTCAAGTGATACTTCTACCTCAGCCTCCTGAGTAGCTGGGACTATAGGCATGCACTATCGTGCCTTACTTAAAGAAAACTTTTTAAAAATCTAGAAGTATTTACCAGGTAGTATATTTACTGTATCAATTCAGAAATAGGTGTATGAAGTAAAAAGTGCAAGTTTTCCCTTCTTCCAGGTAACCCTTTTCAACTAATAGAATGCAATATTTTCTTAAACAATGAGCAGTTAAACACAAGAAACTGGAAATAAAGAAAATGGCAGGGAGATGTAAATATATAAGCTATAGGACAAAATGATATAAAACCAAATATTTCAAAACTAACAAAAATATAAATCCTCTATTTAAATACTTGGTTGAATAAAGCAAATTTAAATATAATTAATTACAAAAGGCATGCCAATTTTAAAAAGTTACAAACTAAAATGTAGACAAAGACAATACAAAGAAGAGCACAAAAACGGGGGGAGGGGTTGGCAATATTAGATGATCAAGACAAAAAGCACTAATCAGACAAAGACAGTTTTGTTAGTAAGAGGCCACAAATGAAATACTCATTGTATTGAAGTTCAATGCCAAACTATTATGCCATCTGAATGTATAAAGAAAAAGCATTAGAAATTATATTATCAGCATTCTCCAGATGTATTATTCAGCTTCACACTACCACAACAAAATACTGAGAAAGGCTACTATGAAGAAAAAGTTTATTTAACTTTCATTTTAGGGGGTTCAGATCCAAGATGTGGTGGCTGGATTTGTTTGGGCCTCTAGTAAGGGTGGCATATCACAGTGGGGATTCTTGGTGGAGTAAACCACTCATATAATGAGCCAGGAAGCAGAGAGAGAGAATAAGACCAGGGTCCCACAATCCCCTTTGAGAGCATGGCCCAAATGACTTAAGAACTTCTCATAAGGCCCCACCTCCTACAGGTCCATAACACTCCCCAGCAGTGCTACCCTTAGGCATCAAGCCTTTAACACGTGTACCTTTACGGGACACTATCCATATTCAAACCATAGCACCATAAAAAAAAAAAAACCCAACCAACAGCATACATGCATGCATATGAACACACATGTACACGAACACACACATACGTAGAGATTTTAAGGAATTGGCTTATGCCATTATGGGGGCTGATCAGTCTGAAATCCATAGTGGGGGCCAACATGCTGGAAACTCTGATAAAAGTTGATGTTGTAGTCTTTCAGTCCAAAATCTTCAGGGAAGGCCTGTAGGCTGGAAACTCAGGAAGGGTTTCTTTGTTGCAGTCTTTTTTAAAATATTTGTTTCAGTTGTAGGTGGACACCGTAATCCTTATTTTATTTTTATGTGGTGCTGAGGATCAAACCCAGTGCCTCACGCTTGCTGGGTGAGCACTCTACCACTGAGCCACAAGCCCAGCCCCTTTGTTGCAAAGGAGCTGATACAGAATAGCTTCTCTCAATCTTTGCCCTTCAGGTCTTCAACTGATTGGATGAGGCCCATCCACATTATGGAGGGTAATCTGCTTTACTTAAAGTTAACTGATTATAAATTTTAATCACATCTACAAATACCTTCACAGCAACATCTAGACTAGATAGGATCAAACAAATGGACAGTATAGCCTAGCCAAGTGTACAGGGACTGGGGAGGTAGCTCAGTGGTAGAGTACTTGCCTACCATGTGTGAGGCCCTGAGTTTAGTTCCCAGAACTGGAAAAAAAAAATCATTATCATTCACAGAAATGTAGGAAGAAATTGACAGAGAGTCAAGACAAAGCAATATAAGACTACCATACCTGGTAGTCTTGGACACAGTAAGCATATCAAAAAGGAAATATACATGCAGAAAATGTGAATACTATTAGAAATATATATATATATATAATGAATTATATATAAACTATATGAAAATAACATATATAACATATTACTTTTAAAAATTTTTTTTAGTTGTAGATGGACACAGTACCTTTATTTTTATTTATTTATTTATTGATTGATTGATTGATTTTTATGTGGTGCTAAGGATCAAACCCTGTGCCTCCACATGCTAGGCAGGAGCTCCACCGCTGAGCCACAACCCCAGCCATTAACTTACATTTTAAATCATACAAGTAGATGAGAATGGTGGTAGAAATATGAGGGGGGGGGACAAACATTAATGTTGGACTCATGCCTCATACTCTGTACCAGGGTATATTCCAGATGGATCAGAAAATTTAATGTTAAAACTGAAAGCATAAAAGTACTTGAAGAACCAAGGAATACTTTTTTAATATCATCCTAGAATGTGAAAAGCTTCTCTGAGAATGATATAAAACCCCAAAGCCATTTTTTTAAAAAAGCTTCATAAATTTGACCCAAGAAAAATAAATAAGATCTGCCTGGCAAAATCACTCTAAGCAAAAACAAGAAAACAATGAAAACTTGGAAATATTTGAAATTCATTTTTTTTCATGTCAGAGGGGTAATATTCCAACATGGTAACAAGGTTTAAGGGAGACACAGCTTACACAGTGGTATGAAAACCCAATCAGCGCATTTATGAACCACAAAAGATGAAATTCCTATCACAGACAAATTCCACATTTCTCTAATAGAGTTCTTAAAAATCAATTTTAAAAAACTAGCAATCTAATAAAATATTAATATGAATGGCCAGTTTATAGAAAGAAAAGTACAAATGATTCTTAAAAGAATAAAAAGATTCTAGCACCCACTCATAATAAAACACATGCAAATTTAAAGTAAACTGAGATCACTTTTTCACTAGTCAGAATGATTAAGATACAAAAGTGTAATATTTTACTGTGCTGTTCTGTCTGTGGAGAAACAGGCATTTTCATACACTACTGGCAGGCTTTTTGTTTCGTTTTTATACAGTGCTGAGGATGGAACTTATGGCTTTATGTATGCTAGGCAAGTGCTCTACCACCGAGTCCCTTTAAATTTATTTTGAGACAAGTTCTTGTTAAATTGCCCAGACAGGTCTGGAACTCTCCATCCTCCTGCCTCAGCCTTATGAGTAGCTGGAATTACATGCATGTGCCACCATGCCAGGCAAATTTCTTTTCTTTTTCTTTCTTTTATATTTGTGTGTGTGTGTGTGTGTGTGTGTGTGTGTGTGTGTGTGTGTGTGTGTGATGCTGGGGATCAAACCTAGGACCTTGTTCCAGTCAGGCAAGCACTCTATCACTGAGCCATACTCCCCACCCTGAAGTAGGTCTTTATCACATCCATAGGAAATAATCTGGCAATGTTTATTAAGATTTTGAATTATGAAATTAGGCCATTGTTTCCATTTATATCCTATGGACAGATTTTCACACATATAAAATAATGTACATACATAAACAAGTTTCTGTATTACAGTATTATTTGTAGTAGCAAAATTTTAGCAACAACATAAATGTACATCAATAAGGGATGGGTATTTAACAATTCATTTAGAAGTTGTATTTCTATACAGTGAAATACTATGCAGTTATTAGAAAAATGAGGTTGTTCTCTTTTACTGACAAGCATGGTCTGTAACATATATTACTAAACAAAAAGAAACAAGGTAGAGAACAATTGTGAAGTATGCTGCCACTTGTTGAAAAGTGAAATATAGATACACACATATGTAATTCTTTGTATATGCATAAAATAACACCTTGGAAGGATACAGGACAAAATGATAATATTGGCTGCCTTTGGGGAGGAACTGGGTACAGAACAAAGGTGAGAATTTCCACTCTAGGTATCTCTATATGCCCTTTGAAAGTTGGATCATGAGTGTATTACCTGCTCAAACAATAAAAGGGTTTAAATAATAAAATACGACAAAACTCATATCTAAACTTACAATCCTATCCATAGAGAATTCATCTGCTTTACTGTTCAAGAGACAATTGACTACGAAATCTCAATTTTGTAAAGCAAAACTTATGCATGTCACATTCATTGACCATAGTGCAATAAAGTGAGAAATAAATGCAAATCCTCACTGTCCTCAGCAAAGGGCCCTGTACTACCTAAACTTGGAGCCTTCAGAGTTCAACCAAATTAATACAGAGGGCTTCCTGGTCAAGTCCAATGCTCCTTTTATCTCTCACCATCTAGAGGAAAGAGGCTAAATCCAAATTCAGATTTAATGTGTTTAAGAGTCCTATTACAGAAAGTCTTAATAAATATATTTTGTGAATACAACTATGTGGCCAAGGTCTTGATCCATCTATCCAAATGGAGAGGATCTGGAAGGGAGTCTGACATAAGCACCAAAAGGTTGCCATAAAATTCATATTTTCACTGCCTTTTCCCTCCTTATTAGGAAATTTCCAAAAGGCAATCCAAGAGGTCACCTCCCCATCTTCCTGAATTTCATTAATAGGGAAATGATGAAAGTATATGAGGAGATACTGAAGTGCCGGGAAGTGGGCTCGCAAATATCCATAGGTAAATGTGGCCTTCCTACTGGATATTTTTAACTCTAGCTCAGAGACAGGGTGAATGAGAATGGATAATCACAGATATCTCTTTTTAATAACAATAGATATGATGCTAAATGTTTTAGCAGGTTACACTATTTTAAAAAAATTGTAAAGTGTGTGCATGTTTTAATACACTAAATTACAATTTTCTAACATTATGAGCCTTTGGAATTAAGAGATACAAACTCCAAAAGTATGGTCAATGCTAAATTGATCAAATTTTAGAATTTCTTGGTAGCTGATTTTTTTTTTTAATTTAAATGTTAAGCAATTTTTTGCTTTCTTTTTTGTGGTACTGGGATTGAAACCAAGGGTGTTCTACCAGTAAACTACATCCCCAGCCTTTTTTATTTTTTATTTTGAGACAGTATTTCCCTAAATTGCATAGGCTGGCCTCAAGCTTGTGATCCTCCTGCCTAAGACTTCTGAGTCACTGATATTACAGGCAAGCCACTATGTCTGGCAAAGCTGTACTAATTTTAAGGAATGTGGTACTGTAAATGAACCAAACAGAAGGAACAAAAGCAGATATACACACACACACACACACACACACACACACACTTATATACATACATATATATGGCATTTTTGTGACATCTTGAAATTGTTTTTAAAAATTAAATAATTCCAACTTAAATAATATGCCAAAATTAGTTTAGGATGTATTTAAGAGTTAGATACGGCCCAGTATATTAATTAATTAATATATTAATTAATGGATGTTAATTAATTAATTAATATGTTAATTAATTAATGGATGTTAATACCATTGGATGAAAGTAACAGGATATTCATGTTGCTAAAGTATCATCCCAAAGATTACTTAGTAAATTTAAAGGTAGATATTTGGTGGTTACCACCTTAACTAAGTGATCAAACTTAGCATCACTGCTAATGGGACAAATAGATACCTGTACTTCCTGATACAATGCAACATAAAACTACTCGTGATGTATTCTAGCAAAAAGTCACAATCCAAATCTAATCAAACCTCTAGACCTAACTTCCAGTTTAAAGAATAAAAGTGATACAGGACCAAATTAAACAACAGCATGAGGGCAAGTCCAGATTACTGAATCCTATAGTACGAATTTGTTTTAGACTCATCAAAAAGACAATGTCAGGGAGAATAAAAAGTAGGGGCACTGTTTTGTATTAAAAGAAATACAAAAATGAAGTGCAGTATGTGAACTTGGTTGGATCTTCTTTGAGAAAGAAAAACAGCTATATTGGGCTGGGGATGTGGCTCAAGCGGTAGCGCACTCGCCTGGCATGTGAATCGAATCAGGGAATTGTTGTTAATTAACTGGCTTACATTTGATAATATTGTACTTATTATAATATTCTTATTTTTAGGTGATGAATTTTAAAATATTTGAGGATGAAATGTCATGATATCTGCAACTTACTCAAATAGATCACAAATAAAATTACAATGAGTAAAAGAGAAAACAAAAGTGATAAAAGATAGTTATTGACTCACATAAGTGGAGCAAATACAAGTGTTCGTTGTAGTATTTCAATTTTCAGGGTGTTTGATAATTTTTAAGTGAAAAAAATTAGGGAAAAGTTTTAAAAGTGAAAAAAGCATAAATTAGTAGAAAATAATAATAAAGTTTTTATAATTATGCAATGGAGAAAACATTTAATATATTATTCATTCAGTTAAAGCCTTATAGATTCAGCTACATACAAATTAAAACTTTGGGGCCAGGTGTGGTGACAAATGCCTGTAATCCCAGTGACTTGGGAGGCTGAGGTAGGAGGAACACAAGTTTGAGGCCAGCTTCAGCAACTTATTGGAGTCCTAAGCAACTTAGTGAGACCCTGTCTCAAAATAAAAAATAAAAAGGGCTCAGTGGTTAAGTACCCCTGGGTTCAATCCTTAGTAATAAAAAAAAAAAAAAATTAAAACCTTTGAATCCCAAGTAAGTACCATTAAAAATTGACATGAATGGCATCATAAAGTGGGAGAAATACATGCAACATTCTTTAAATTATTTATTTATTTATTTATTTTTGCTGCAATGCTAGGAATTGAACTTGGAGCCTCGTGCATGCTAGGCAAGTGTTCTCACCACTGAGTTACATCCCCAGCCCTTCATACAACATTTTCGACAAGAAATTATCTTGTATTTCAATTATTACAACTGAAAAGAAAAAAAAGATTTACACTCTGATAGAAAAATGCCTAAGAGCATGAATGGATGATTCACAAAAGAAGGAGAAAGATAACGTGAAATACCTCTTGTTAACTGCTTGGTTGTTTCTCAGCCTTCATCAGAGTTGCTTGCTAAACATTCAGCTTCTTCAGTCTGTAGTGATGAGGCCCAGGAATCCATATAATAAAAACTCCCCTAGTGGGCTGGGGATGTGGCTCAAGCGGTAGCGCGCTCGCCTGGCATGCGTGCGGCCCAAAATA